TCATCTGGCCTCTTGGCCTTCCTACCATTAAGAACCATCACAGCATCTTCAGCTTCCTTTCTACCAAAGACAGGTCACTTTCCACAAGGCAGTAAATAAAACATAAACCGAGGTGGACAGTAATGCTTCTGAGCCTCGTCTTATCTGTGCAATTTTTTTTCTTCCTTCCACCCTAAGCCGAGAAAATTGTGTAAATGCAGCAGATTCCCCCTATCAGGCCTTGCAGACCAAGGCAGCGGCCAGCGGACCTTTCCATGCTTACATCACACCTACAGAAGGCTGCAAAGCTTTCCCATTCTTCCCCTTCTGTTTGACAGCCGTGTCAGAGCGCTCGGCTTCTTTATCACGGCGGCAGATCAGACGTTGAAGGTACAGATTTAAAAGTGATGAGTATCTCAGCTTTCACTCCAAAGTGCTTTTTTCCTTTTTTTTCCCTCCCTACCTCACCGGTTTCCTGCAAGTCTAAGGCGCTCATATCTTTTTTTTTTTTTTTGGTGCAGTGGAGATTGTGCTGTGAATTTTTATGAGTTTTGCCTCATGTGTGGCAGAACGGCGGAGCGGATTTAAGCAAGGCCCAGGTTAAACACACAAATATATAGCTTCACAATCCTTCAAAAAGATCCTTATCGGGCCGAGACGTAATGTGAAAAAGCTTCTGCGCACTTCACTGAAATGCAAATTACAGAGCGAGAGAGAGAATCAGTTAGAGAGAATGAGAGAGAGAGAGAGTGATAGGGAGAGAGAGAGAGAATCAGTTAGAGGAGAGAAAGGGAGAGAGGAAAGAGAGAGATGGAGGGAGAGGAGAGAGAACACGGAGAGAGAGAGAGAGAGGATAGAAAGGGAGAGGAGAGAGAACAGGGAGAGAGAATGAGAGAGGGAAAGAGAGGAGGGAAAGGGAGAGGAGAGAACAGAGAGAGGGGAGAGAGAGAATCAGTATGAGAGAGAGAGAGACAGTTAGAGAGAATGGGAGAGAGAGAGAGAACGGAGAGAGAATGAGAGAGAGAATCAGTATGAGAGAGAGAGAGACAGTTAGAGAGAATGGGAGAGAGGAGAGAGAGGATAGAAAGAGAGAGCCTCATTGCTTTAAATATGAATATAAAAAAAATGAGCATTTAATTCTGAAAGCAATATTTAATGTCGACTGGAAAATTCATATTAATGGAAAAAAGTGTGCTTGCTGGACTTTTTTTTCTTCTTCTTCTTCTTGTTACAATTCTTGATTAAAGATTTGTTGTTGTTTTTTTTGATGATACAGTCTTGTCCGCCGTCTAAAGAGTGGATCACATTGTTACTAGAAGGGAAGTACATTCAAGAGAAGCTGTAATCCTTTTAGTTTTGTAGCTGTGTATGTGAACGCGATCAGAGTGAACGGCTTGGGCCAGCCGCTGACGGATGCTGAGCAAACCCGCTCACTGACATAACAGCCAACTATACATTGATTTCTGAGTCTGTATACATTGTTACATCGTATCATTTGTTTAAGGCCCTGATGAAGAGTTATAGCCCCCAAAACCTGTTGGCTTCACAGTCTGTCATTGGTATATACTTGCACCTGGACTTGGTGTGATGCTTCAATTCTTGATCCATCCATCCCTTTCAATAGCCAAGGCGATTGTGAATATCTGTGGTGTGTGGAAGCTGCCAACCCAGTATTCAGATTCTCTCTCTCTACATATATCTATAAACACAAAAAAAAATATATATATATATATAATCACCACCACACTGTTGTTATTATTATTAATATTATTTTTAATGTGTTATATAGTGCCAACAGTTTGCACAGTGCTTTACAATAGGGAACAATAAAAATTTCTCTCTCTCTCTCTCTCTCTCTCTCTCGCTCTCTCTCTCTCTCTCTATATATATATATCATATAATGTAATGCCTGCTTGCAGCAGAGTGATCACTTTGAGAGGGGAGCCTGAGGTAATGCTTCCTCCCTGCAGCAGACTGATGACATCATCTCAGCCAAGGCAAAGTAACTACCTGGAGCACAAACATGACTTCAATAAGATAAGAAATCCAGATTCTAGCAACATTCACCTTATGACCAAACTGGGCCTGCCCCATCTTGCACATTTGCCAAATGGAGATGGCAAGCAAGACATTGCTCTTAACTGCAATTCCTTAATTGATTCATATATATGGCATTCCATGCTCACTCCTGCATGGTCATGGCCTTTCCTCATTTTAGAAGATTGTAGCTATTGGCCGGCATACACAGGCAAATCTATCAGGGACAAGAGTCTAGGTTTACCGCTTCTTAACAAACATGTTCCTATAAGAGATCTTTGCAAAGCTTTTTTATTTATTTACTTATTAATTTTGCTTTTGTTATTTTTGCTGTTTGTTGCTCATGTTTTCTAGCTGTCTACTTTAAAAAACAGCGCCCAGGCCAATCGCACAATAATTCATATACCCCGACGATGTTCAGTCCTTGCTTTTATTTTCCACGCTCGATGAGTTTTGATCCCCGTCGCCTGCTGGGCAGTTCATGGATTATGTAGAAATTTCCTTTGGGAAAACTTAGGCGTCGCATAAAGATCAGTAGAGCAAGACTTTCAAATAAGACCTCCATTTTATGCAGGCATGTATCCTTTCGACGCTCCCCGGGATCAGGCCGTGTATTTCAGAAGTTGCAAAATAATCCCTCCCGGAGCACGGGGACGTGATGTATGCGGTCTATCTTTCCACATTTCTAACCTTTGATCTCATCTCCGAGAATGCTGTCATCGAGACGAGGCCTGTGAAAGGGGATCAAAGACCTTCCGCTGGCAAAAAAATTAATCTACACATATGAAAAGAGGTTATTCCAGTCAGATTTGCTTTATGGGTTATGACACCTTTTCCTGGAGTAAATACGTTACTTTGAGCGTTCCGCGGAAATTTGCGCAGAGTTCTCCATGGATGTTGCTTGGTTCGCCCTTCCCCCACCCCCCCCCCCGCTGCACGGGTACACGCCACAAAACTTTC